CTTCCCCCTCACCCTCCGCGTCTGTGTCTTCGGCCTCCCTTCCCCCCCCCCCCCCCCCCCCCCCCCCGGGGCACTGGCCCGGGGGCTGGGGTACAGGAAGTACCCGCCCCTCCCACAAGGCTCTCCAGCTGGCGCCCTCTGCTGTCTCTGGACTCTTCCCACGCTCTGCCCTCGCGTCCTCTAGTACTAGCAGGGCTGCTGCTGCGTGCCGGTCTCTTCCGGAGGCATCAGCACTAGCGACGGGAGCATCCTCTACCCACCACAATGAGACCGGCTGGGGTGGCAGAGACCTCTTTCCTCCGGTCGGTCGCTCCTCTGCTCAAAATGTCCTCAAAGCCCTGAGAGGCTGCAAAGCTGGCTCTGGGGGCTGGCCTGCGAAGTTCTCAGGGCCTTCCTTCCTCCATCCCCTTCTTGCTCTTTTCCCTCACGGCTGACCACGCTCACAGCCCACGGTGATCCCTCCCACCGCTCAGCTCACCCCGCAGCAGCTTGATTCTAGGCCACTATTGACTGTAACAGGCACCAGCAATTCAGCAGCACGTTTTTAGGGAAACAAAAAACCCCCACCATATTAACATTGATTTTAATGTATTTTGGGATTTGAGAAATGTCAAAATGTTTAAGAGAGAGAGAGAGAGAGACAGAGAGAGAGAGAGACTCTTAAAAATAATACACAGATAGCCAAGATGTGGTATAGCTATACAAGGGAATAACTACTACTTAGCAATGAAAAGGTACAAACTATTCGTACGTGTAGTAACTTGAAGGAATCTCAAAGTTACTATGCTAAGTTCAAAACGCCATTCTCATGAGTTTATATGATATGTAATTCCATTTCCAGGACACTGTCACAACGACAAAATTATATGACAGCAGATCAGTGGTTGCCAGGGGCTGGGAGTACTTGTTCTGGGGGAACAGAGCTTTCTGGGATCTTGACTGTCATGGTGATTATGTGAATCCATACAGGGCTTAAAATTCATATAAATGCACAACAAATAAAGGCCAACTTTACTGTTCATTAATTCAAAAATTAAAAATTTTGAGTATGACTTTTGAATCAAGGAAAGAATATGCCTTATTAATAAAGTTGATGAGCAGGTGCTAGAATTACTCACTATTTCCCCTGTATACTTGTCCATATTTTTCAAAATTTTCACTGCAACTATTATTTTTATAAATAGAAAAAATCAGCACTGTAATCTCCAATCAAAAAAAAGCATATATAATACTGCTTATAAAGATGTTTAGCAATCCTGTAGACTCGTATTACAAAATACAGTCAATAACTTAAAAATTATGCATCAGGTAAAACCATGAACTCACTGGTAACTAAGAGAAGAGGGTGGGGAGAGGTGAGTGCCACTCAGGTAGAAGGAACTAGAGCATCGAGAGCACAGTCCCAGGAAGAGTGGCTTATCGGGACATCTACTCTCCCCACTAAGTAGTTCAAGAAGAAGCGCACACCGCGGCGGGGGAGGATATAAATGTGGAGGTCTCAGGATACAAAGAAATAATTTCTGTTCCACCATATAAAAGATGGACTTATGGCACAGTGCCAGATGAAAAGAGAAACACCAGCTATCCTCTGGAAAGTAAGCCCCCTGAAGGCCATGTCCAGGGCTATACAGAGGCTGTAACTCACAAGTGTTTGTTGAATGAATGCATACTTGCTAACAAGAAGAGACAGGGAGGTGAAATTAATCCTGACACCAAAGTAATGGGCTCTAAATTGGCAAGGATCTTGAACTTGCATCACAAGGTAAAGAAGAAACTGTCTGTTTGCTGTTCCTTTTGTATCCCCCATAAAAGTTAGCGAAATGCTTTATATATACACTGAGTACTCAACAAATACTTGCGGAACTGAAAGTAAGATGTCAGACTTGGAGGCGGGAATCTTTTGATCCTCCTTCCTTAATGACATCATAAGAAGCTGAAAGAACGTCCCTCTAGTCAGAAATCAAAAAGAACACTGTTAGCTTTGTGGGGGGGCCACAGTTTACTGGTTTACTTCGATTGCTGAAAAGGAAGTTATGTTTTCTTAAAATTAAATGTCTCACAGTGTTTTAACTTTTATTTCAATGAATGAACGAATAATGCCCCCTAAAACATTTCAGTGTCAAACTGATGCAGGCATATACGACAGAGTAAAATTTTAGGGCTTCAACTGTAATTTGTAAATGTCTTGTTTAAGAGGACCCACTAACTTTCTGAGAGAAATCTTAGAATAGCCTGTAAACACTCAAACCAACTCTCTACTGCTGTTTTATTATTTTTTTTAATCTGCTCCTAAACCAGAGACATAAAAGTCTAAATTAAAACAACTCTGAGGAACAGTGGTCAGGAAGGCTTGCTGGAAAGACATACCACCCTAACATTATCCTTGATCATGGGACAGCAAACTATAGCCACAGACCAAAAAGAGCCTGCCACCTGGTTTTTGAATGATCTGTGAGATAAGAATGGTTTGTGCACTTTTAAATGGTTCGGGGGGGAACCCCAAAAGAATATTATTTCATGACATGGGAAAACTGTATGAAGTTCAAATTTCAGTATCCATAAGTGAAGCTCTACTGGAACATAGCCACGCTTTTTGGATACAATGGCAGAGCTGAGTAGTTATGTCAGAGACTGTATATTCAACATCACTACCTGGCTCTTAACAGAAAGTCTGCTGACCCCTGTTGGATCAATGTTCCCCAGTGTGCCAACGACGGGTTTTTTTTTTTTTGTTTGTCTGTTTAAAGGTCTGATGATTAAATCAGTTTGGGGAATGCTGGGCCAATTTCTTAATTGCGGGACTTCTTAGAGCATTCAATATGCCGCTGTCACATAGTTCTTGTCACGTCTATGTGGTCTGGGCTTTTTTTTTTTTTTTTTTTTTCTTTTTTTTGGTGGGAGATCATCTCCCAGATCTGACATCTTCCTCAGGAGACTACCCTCTGAGAAGTGATGAACTGCACGCCGCACAGGCCTCGAGGGAGTCCTTGCCCCAGATGGAGCCTTGTCACCAGGCCTGCAAGAAGTCAACAAAATGGCCATGCTACTCACTGCAGGGAAGCTGATGAGGGCCTTGTCCATCCGAACATGTGGCCCCTTTTATGAGTGCTTTTGGGGGAAGTTTATATGCGGCAAGGACCCACTCCTGCCCTCCTGAGCTAATGGTTTGTTTGTATTTTACAGACGTGAATTTTATCCTTTTAAGTTTCCCTCTTTGCTTGGGCTGCTCGGAGACCCAGGAAACTATGGTGACTTGCCTCAAAAGGATCTTATTTATAGTCTGAACTTTGTGAACTAAGCTTTCTCCTGGCTGCAACTAATTATCCCACTTATATATTCCTTTTGCCTTGTATCTGAACTAAAAAAAATTAACTACATTATATGTGTACCTGTTAGGTACCTTAAATCACTTCTTTTAAAAAAGCAGGGTGTAAGTACGTACGTAGGCAGACCGAGGGGTTACAACCTTTCAGGATCGCGTTGAAGGGGATGGTGGAAGGAAAGACCTTCGATATGGGCTACTAAGAGAACGAACTTCTAGACACAGCAAAACCTGGCGAGCTCCCAACAAGTATTTGTACTGTAGCAGGGGACTCCAAACTTGCTCTCTCACTGTGGAAAGTTGGGAGAAGCAAGGGAACAGTGAGTGACCCTGACAAACCCCAGCGCCGAGAGCCAGTGATTTAATCTGTTGTCATCGCCACAATTACGAACCGGCCATGATGCGGTGCGTGAGGGTTCCTTGTGGTTGTGGGCCACAGCGGCTGGGAGCTGCTGGCCTCAGCACTTGGGAGCCCAGCCCCACGGGGGTGGTGCCCTGTGCAGCTGTTACACTCTGTTAACATGCTTGGGATTTTACTGGCTCCTCTTCTGGAAGGCTTTGGCCTCACAACCTGCAGGGAGCAGCCTGGTCTGCCAGCTTTTAGAACCTGTGAGACCAAATATTTAAAGAGTTCCGCAACAATGGTTAGAAAGAAGCTAACCCTGACCCGCAGGAAATAGAGTGCCAGGTGGGGGAGGGAAAGAGTGCGACTCCAATTCAGAGCAACGTTATGTAACCAGAATTTCTGAAGGCACGTGACTGAAGGGCTTAGTAGAACTTTTTCAAGTGACAGAAAACTTCTAAGATTGTCCTCCTCAAAGCCACTGGTCCAGGAAAAGAACACATGAAAAGTAACTAAACGCCTTCTTTAATCCCTTAAGACCTTGCCAAGAATCCCAGGAAATCACAAAACCATAGAAAGAATTTCTGTTCCTCTGTCACTCACACACTCTTCCTCCGACCCTGCGTCGCCTTCCTCCTCAAGGCACCAGCACCTCTACCTCCCTGGGGCTGGGGGCAGCTGTCTAGTCTCCACAGCAACATTCTATCACCAGGCCGTCACTATTCACCTCGCTGGATTTGGGCCATGGCCCTTACCACGCCACAGAAACTGCTCTCCCTAAGGTCATGGGTGTTGCCAGATTAATCACCTCAAAGCATGTGTCTGGTCAAGAACCTTTATCAACTCCTTCCTGAGTAAAAGAGAAATTCAGCTTAGAATTCAAAGCCTTTCAGGATCAGGCCCCAACCTGTATTTTTCCAGTCAGTTTGCACAGTCCCGACATGGACCTTACGTGACAAACTTTCCTCTATACCCTCTGGTCTCTGAAACACTGTGCTGTTCCTAAATGGGACATTCACCCAGCCAACCTCCAACGTCCAAGGCCTACCTAGCTTTGAAAGGACTGGCTATGAAGCCATCTTTTTTCCAGGCAACCTCTGTGGCTCCACAGAGTGGACAGTGCTTCTCCTCCGCGGTGCTGCCCACGCCTGCAATCTGCCCCTCTCCAACGGCACTGGCCATTGTCCCCAGCATGCCGGTGGGTCCTTAGGGACAGGTCTTCCTCCGACCCTGCGTCGCCTTGTCTCACCGTGACAAAGCTGGGAGCTGCTCGAGGTCTGGCTCTGGCACGGGTCTGTCTCTCTATCTCCTCCAGCACACTGAAGGCACACAAATACAACGAATAGTTGATGGATAAGTGAATGAAAAATTGACCAAAGGGCTCTCTTTAGCACTTTTCCGTTCAACTTTGCCACTGCATCTTGGGAAATACATTTAGGATTAGAACTCATGACCTCCTGGCATGCAACCCTGTGGTCACACCACAGTGTTATTGTTTCCGAGGGTGTCCTTTTCGGTCTTCATCCCATCTTCTTTTCTCATAAAACAGTGTTTTACAAACTGCAGTTGAGGGACCATCTCCAGACTCACAGCATTTATAGAGGCCCTCCTCTGCCGTGACTCTGTGTGCCTCCTTGCTAGCAAGCGATTCGGCTGTGAAGGATCTGGGTCGATGATGGCGAATGGGTGGAAAGGAACGGGAAAATTTTGAGAAATGATCTTACGAGGTTAAAGAATAAAAGTTCTACACAAACGCTTTCTTAGATGAGATGGTACCAAGAGTCTATACAGAAACCAGCAAATCTCATGTCAACTATAGGAGGAAACATAACGACATAGCTGGGGCGCTCACCCACGGAGTGCCATGTAGAGAGCCCAGCCAGATGGGTGCTGGGTGGTCCAGTCACGTCAGATGCTGAGTTCATGATCTTCCATTTCAATCTGGCTCTCCTCAGGATGGGCCGACCCAGAGCATTGTCCAAACCTAGGTCTGTCCCCCTTGGTGTAGCAGGCCCGGACCTTTTATTTTTTTCTGAAGGCAGCTGTGGAAATGCTAATACTCTTTCACGCAGCCCTACCGCCACAACAGATGCTGAAAAGTCTGACACAAATCCCAGATTTTTCAGAACAGGAAAAGACTAAGGTCTATTTAACGCAGAAAGAGACCTTGGTCCATCTGTCCCTCTCTGCCCCATTAGTGACGAAGTGACATATTTGAGGCCACAGAGTGAGCAGGAAGAAATGAGGTGATGGCCTGGGCAGGCTCTTTTTACGTGACCATGGCTTTTTAATCTACAGTCCACAGAAGATCTACCTCAAGCTCTAGCAAAATTCCAGACCAAGGGAACATAGTTATTAAGTTACTTTCTAAAGGACAGAGATAGGACGAGGCTGAATCAGAACCAACTGAAACAGCCTTCCCTGTTACACTCCCTTATCCACGGAACCTCTCATCATTCTGTGCCTCTTTTTATACTTCAACAACCGACACTCTGGAGCAGAGGCCATGGGACAAGGCCGGCCGGAACCGTGGGAGCCAGGGATTATGGCATGGGCCAGGGAAGCCATGGATTCAACTCAAAGAATGTGCTAAAATTAACTTTCTTCCCTTCAGTTTCCATTTTGAAGCATGTTAAACTTACAGGAGAGCTGAAAGAATGGTAAAACGAACACCCATATACTTCTCATCAAGATTCATCAAATGTCAACACTTTGTCATATTTGCTTTACTTTCTCCTCTCTCCACCCCCACCTTCATACATCTAGATTTTTTTTTTCCATCTGAACTATTTAAACTTATGTTGCAGAGAGGATTACCCCTCCACACTTTACCATGCATTTTGTAAGAATAAGGGCATTCTTCTACAGAACCACAACATTTTTACCACAGACAAGACTAATAATTCCCTACATCTAATTTACAGATCATATTTAAATGTCTTCAACTGTCCCCCAAAAGTTTCTTTAGCTCTTTGTTTTCCTCCTGATCTAGGATCTAATCAAAGTTTATACCTAGTATTTGGTGGTTGTGTCTCTTTGGTCTGTTTAATGTAAAACAGTCCATCCTTTTTTTTAATGTAACATTGCTTTTTTTGAAGACTCCCAGCCAGATGTCTTATAGAATGTCTTATGTTCTGGATTTAGCAGCTTGCTTCTTCATGGAAGGTGAAGAAAGGAAGGGACAGAAAGAAATAAAATGTGGTAGAATTAATCTTCTCTGAATTTCCTAAACAGAAAGTAAATGTTTTTATTTATTTTTGAGAGAGAGAGAGCGAGTGAGCGCAAGCAGAGGAGGGGCAGAGAGAGAGGGAGACACAGAATCCGAAGCAGGCTCCAGGCTGTGAGCTATCAGCACAGAGCCTAACGTAGGGCTTAATCTCACAGAGTGTGAGATCATGACCTGAGCTGAAGTCGGACGCTTAACCGACTGAGCCACCCAGGCGCCTCCCCCCAACCCCAAACAGAAAGTTAAGATTTAAGTCTCGATGAGACTCAGGCTAAATATTCTAGCTTGAATACTGCACAGGTGATAGTGTGCACTCCATCCAGCATTCCTTCAGAAGGCAAAAACCGTGAGGCTGCGATATTTGATTACTTGGTTAAGGTGCTAATAGCCAGATCTTTCTACCTTAAGGTTACCTTTTACTTGGTATTTAACAAATAATCTGTGGAATAAGGCTTCTAGATAATGTGGATATCCTGTTCTCACAGAACCTTTCAAGCAATGATTTTAGCATCCACTGGTAATTTTTGCCCGAATCAATGTAACTCTTCAAGTTATAAAATGGTGCTTTTCATATACTATAAATACATTTATTAGTTGCCTCTCTTCTGCCAAGAACTTTTCCTGCTGTGCCCCCGAAGTTCATTTTTCATGAATTTGCGTTCATCCTTGTGCAGGGGCCATGCTAATCTTCTCTGTATTGTTCCAATTTTAGCATATTGTGCTGCCTAAGTGAGCACCCCAAAGTTTGTTTTTATTTTGAGCATTATTATAGATTCACTGATTTTTTTTTTTTTGAAGTTCAATGTATTATTATATACTACCATTACTATTCTTTCTGGTACTCAAATCGTCCCAAATTAGGTTAGTGGGAGCTCTTTCAAAAGATCTCCCATGTCCTTGTGGTATGTCTCCACAATAAATCTTTGAGTGCTTTGGGGCACCTGGGTGGCTCGGTCGTTGAGCATCCAACTTCAAGCTCAGGTCATGATCTCATGGTTTGTGAGTTTGAGCCCCACGTTGGGCTCACGGTTGTCAGCCTGTCAGTACAGAGCCCACTTCGGATCCTCTGTCTCCCTCTCATTGCCCCTCCCCTGCTTGTGCTCTCCCCAAAATATATAAATATGAACAAATAAAAAAATAAACCAATAAACCTTTGAGTGCTTCTCTGCTTTTTGGCACAGCATGTTTTAGGCGCACCTTATACATTCCCGTCCCAGACTAATAATCACCCAATTCCCTTAGGAGCCCTAATTCCTTGTGGCAGGGAGTGAATGATACTTAGAAACCGATAGAGGGTACCAGACTGCTGTGTTCATTATTACTGGGGTCTCACGGCTTCTAGGCCCTTTTAATGAGCAGAACTAGAAAATACTGAGTTAAATCAGAGAAACTGCTGATATCTGACTATTTGTGGCCTAAAAATTGGCAACTTCATGGGGTTGAACCCAACATACTGTTTAAAAATCATGAGTTCATATTGACACTCCAACTGATGTCTAATACTATAGCATTCTTCCTCATCTTCTCTCATTCCACATTTATACCTTCATTCTCCCAGTGAGAACCTTTGCTCCCAATGACCTCAATATTCAAAACAGTTACAGAATTATAATCCAAATGCCACTAGCGCAAAGAGTCTATTAAGATTTATTTGGAGTTTTATCCTTAGAATACAGCCACTCAAAGTACAGAGTGCTCAAAAGTACAGTGCCACAAGTTATTTGAATTCTTTTCTCTGTATGTGGTGATGCTATGCATTTAATACACATTTAGAACCACTTGTCTTAGTCTTATGTCAATTTTAGAGGTTTTGTTTTTATCTCTTTTTGGATTTCATTTCACTTGATTGTTGAACATTTAAAACATTTAAATGGTTCAAAGATCAAGTGTACTCACAAAAGTCCTACTCTCCTCTCTACCTTCTACCTTTTCTCCACGTATCCCCTGGTGATAACTATTTTCACCATATCCTGGTCTATCCTTTCGATGTTTCTGCTTTCCTTTCTGATATTATTTTTCCTTATTTTTTCTTTGTTCTTATACAAACAGCTGAATACTATGAACTCTTTTGCAGCCTGCTTTCTTGCACTTAACAATAAATCCTGGAAATTATTCCATATCGGTTCAGAGACCAGAATCAGAGAATCCTCACAACTGGAGGTTCCTTAGAGGTCACCTTAGTCCAAATTTTATCCCTCACATGACTCTAAACCAAAAATCAATCAAAGAGATCAACTCACATCTTGAAAATCTAGGATATGGAGGCAGTAAAGTTTATTTCCTCACTAGGCTGACCATTCAATTTAGAGAGCTCTATCAGAAAGTACTTTCCCATGCTGAATTGACATCTAATTCTGAAAAACTCCATAGTTCAGCTACTTGTAGCCACAAAGAATTGGCTGGCTCCCTCTTTCACCACGCAGCCCTTCAAACATAACTTTTCCCAAGAAATAGACCCATCTCTTTCTTGTTCTAAATGGTTTATAATTGTGTGAAAATGCAGTTATTTTCATAATAATTTTCACTTATTTTGTGTCAAGAACAAAACCAAGTTGTAAGAACCAGTGGAACGTCAATAGAAAGAAAGTAGCAGAGGTCAAGAGAAAGAAGGCCAAAATTCCTTCATTCAATATTTACCGGGCATCTACTTACTGTTTTAGGTGTTTGGGTCACAGTTAAGAATAAAGATGCCTACCCACTTATATATTCTAGTGGGGGAGGAGACAGAAAATAAAAAGTACTGTCATTAAGTGCCGTGCAGGAAAGAAGAAGAAGAAGAAGAAGAAGAAGAAGAAGAAGAAGAAGAAGAAGAAG